CTTCCTTACCTACCTACCTACCTACCTACCTACCTACCTTCCTACCTACCTACCTACCTACCTACCTAACTACCGAGCTAGCTACCCAGCTACCTAGCTACCTAGCTACCTAGCTACCTAGCTACCTACATACATGGATAACCAGATACATAGATGTATAGATACATACAGAAATACGTACATACATACATGCATGCATACACACGTAGTCACAGTCACACGCAGACTGGCAGGCAGAGACAGGCAGACAGCCAGGCAGACACACAGACAGACCGACCGACAGACAGACGGACAGACAACAGCTGCCATTCTAAGATCTTTCCTTCCCACAGTTCATTTGATTGTGTATCGGCTGCTTGAACTACTCGAAGCAGATCCTCTTATCCCCAAAGCAAAACAAGGAAAACCCAAACCCCGTAGAACCCTGAAAGCCCCAAGCCTTTAAACCCAAACCTTGAAGCCTAAACCTTTGCCCAAAGCCTAAAGCCGTACAGTTTAAATCCCAGGTGGAACTTCGGCCCACGGGTTTGTCAAAGACGTGCCTCACGGGCAGGGATTAATCTGGGTCCTTTGCAAAGGAACCCCACGGACCGAGTCTTTTGGGGCTGTACGGTTCAGAATAGGTCTGAAGGTGTTGTAGGTTTAAAGCGAAAGGGATTCCAACAGGCGACGAAAACTGGTCAGAAGAGACCGCTGATCTCTAAACACTTAGAAGCTTTGCCACCATTGAAACCCTATGTATTTCCTCCGTTCAACACACTACAAAGACAAACGCTAAGACCCAGGACAGGAAAGCTTGACTTGGCATATTCAGGACTCTTCCGAGAGTTCCTCTATGTGTTCTCTGCGTACCATACGTACAGAAGAGAGATCGCCAGTCTCACCTGCACTGCAGAAGCCGTACATGGGTTTAGGTCTAGAGACTGGGATCCAGGTCGGGACTTGGGCTTAGGCTTGTGGAGCCAGCAGAGTTTGCAGGAGGCCGCAGAAATTCGCCGCAAAGTGCTAACTTCAACGCGCGATGTTGAATGTAGGAGGAGTTGAACTTGTGCCTTAAGGCTCAGGGTTAGGGTTCACAGTTATGATTTCTTGATTCAGGGCTTGGGGCGAACAGTTGCACATCCAAGCCTGCCTCAAGCACTCAATACCTCGGCGTTCTCCCGACAAATTTGCGCTGAACAGACTAGATGCTGGGTCCTTTGTTGGTCGAAGGTGGTAAACATGTCAATGTGGTATTTGTGGTTCGAGGATTCAAGCTTTGATGCTTGTACTTTCAGGTATTTCGCGATGGCTCCGAAGAGTGGCACCAAGATCCTAATCATCAACTGCCTCATCAATGCATCGGGGCAGTGCCTCCTCTTTTTGTAGAGCAGCTCCTCGCCGCAATCCAGGCACTTGCATCCTTTTCCATGGGCATTGCCCCAATTCCGCGTGTGGCTGTGGGAGCAGTTCCTGACTCCACCTTTGGGATCGGACAAGAAACTGCTAAGTCGAAGAGCGAAATAGTAGCAGTGCAGGCATCGTCATGAATCTTCTGATACTTGCACGTTTGGCACGATAACCAGATTCAATTCATCTCTTGGCCTGTCTGAGCTAGGAAGCGAGTACCAAAGGTTAAAGACCCGAGGCTTCAATACCTAGACCTCAAGCGGTCAGAACTCCGGCGGTGCAAACATTCGAACTCGAATCATTATGAGCAAGAAAACTGACCAAAACTCCAAACCCTTCCAGACCTGTGGAAAATGCCATCATGCCTCACCATTTCTTATACCGAAAAAAGCCCGAACACCAAATGCTGGACTGCTCTGCTCGCGCCGGGCGTCTTGTGTTCGGCGCGAAGGCATAGTTTCGATGTCGACTCTGCTGCAGCGCGGTGCGCAAGTTTGCCTGATCTATGGGTTGCTCTGCACTGAAGCCGACTGTAGTGGTTGGGTTGACAGGCATTCGTTCGATTGGCCTTGCGATTTTTATGCAGAATCTGCCACTCAGCCCGGCACCGAGATATAAAAACGGAGCACCCAAGTCCTGCATCCGAACCTGCATCATACACCACCAGCCTTTCATCCTAAACCCTACCATCAACCCGAAGCCTTACATCCTAAACACCAAAGCTCATCCCTGCAAGCCCACCAGTGCAGGGTTTCTGGTTTGTCTAGGGGCTCCTTCGAATGACAATGAGCACTGAAAATCAGAATATGGACCAGCCCCGGCAGTCTTGAACCCCAAACCAAGAGTTTCATTCCCCAACCGGGACACCACCCAGAATCAAAGGCGCTTCACAAGCAAATCAAATCTATACGTGCCAGGAGTCCATCTCACGATTCAGCTGCTCTGTCCTCGGGTCTTTCGGGTTTGAGTTTCGGACTTCAATAAGCCCAGTGGCTCAGTAATGAATCTGAGCGAGGTCTTGATGTAGAGATTGTGACCGAGTTAGGGATTCAAACTTCACTGTCAAGGTTCCAGAATTTCGCAACGAAGGCTTCGAATCCGACTGAGCCCCACGTCAGTGTGTCAGCGATCGTCTTGGAATCCTACACGCGGAGCCCTCCGTTCAGCAAGTTTGCTGTGCAGATTTTTTGGAACAAGATGCGGGCTCGACAGACAAACTCAGGAAGCCTCTCAGACACCCAAGCATTCCGGAAGCGAAGAAATTGGGTCCGCATCGCCTGAAGTATACCATGTTCTTTTGTGCTCCCCCCTTTGCAGACAAGACTCTCCGATAGATACTGCTCCTGCCTCGTGCGGCTCTCTTCCTGACCAGCACAACTAATATGGGGCCTGAGAAAATTCGATAAGGTTTTGGGGGTATAGTATACAATATACTTATGATAGGGAATCCTGAGCCATTAGCACTAGATGCAGGTCTGGGGTGCTCTTCAATGAACGAGTTGGTCAGTTGCTGACTAGGGTTTCTAAACTGCAAAGTTGGATGCATCAGGAATATGAGCTATGTTGTGTAAAAGACGTTTACAGACGCTGATCAAATTAATTGCCGCACACCAGAATGCTCGAAACAGAATAGCCCCGCTAACCTCGCAAGGGAGATCTGAGAGACTGTAGTCCATGATCTACGAAACCACGCACACCTGCGTCTATCTTGCAATCTGAGTAGTATCTAGATCAACACGAACATGTCGCTACTGGCGGGTCCGAACGAAACACTGTCTACAGCACACCATCTCGCTCACAACGAAAACTCTGATCTGCTTCCCTGAAGACTGTGTATTCGATCTTCTGTTGGCATCTGCAGAAACTCTTACACGCAAGCGTACCTGACAGACACAGCACAGAAGTCCTAGCACTCTGCCCCCGTCGCGTTTCTGCAGATCCTAGCCCTGCACGCGACGGCCTCAGGCAAAAACTTGTCCAGATCCCACCTTCTCTTGTCGCAGCTGCCTCTCCAATACGTCCCTTTCCGCCTCGCGTGAATCTTGTGGTTCCGGCGCTTGACGGTTTTACCCTTCAGGGGCTTGAACGATTCTGAGGCCTACGTTCTCAAGGTTGCCTTTCCAGACGCTTGAGTTTGGGTATGTTTGGGTACCGGTCCACAGAATTTGGTCCCCCTGTCCCCGCTCCTGCCTCTTACATGCCTTGAGCTCATGGCCTCGATGCCGAAGCTTTCGGGTACAAAAAGCAGATTTTAAGTTGAATAGGCTGTTCGGTTACCACGGCACCAGGATTTCACCGACGCCAGAAGGATTGGATTCCTTGTTCACTTGCTACTTGGGAATGACCCACCCCATCAAGGTTTGTGAAGGAGAGGCGCAGCAACTCCCAACAACAGCATCCGTTAGCATGTTCCTGCGCCGGTGTGTGGTGGTTCCGGTAAGGAGAAGGTAAAGGCCTGTTCTGCTGCTGCCACTTATGCCCCTACCCCAAGTCCTTTTGGGCGGTGTCTGTCTTGAGTAGACAGCCACCATCTTTGCTGGGAGGGTCTTCGCACCGATCCGGAACCAACGTTAGAAGTCTCAACAGTTTAGTGAATAAGAAATTCTCTGCAACCCTGATAAGAGAACAACATACCCAGAAACCATGTTAAACTTTAAGTCTCAACGGCTGAATGCTAACTAGCCTTCCCACACCCGGTCCATCTCGAGTCCCGGACGTGTTCCTGAACTCCTAAACTCCAAATGCCAGCTGAAACTTCCAAGAATACATGCAATCTCTGCACAAAAACCATGAATAGTAACAGCCTTTCAGGTTTCGGGTTTGGTGGGTGTTTAGTCGGTTGGCCTGTCGAAAAGTATCCTGACCGTTCCAGAAGCTCTGCCACTCTATGCCACTCTCCTTAACCCAGTCCTCAAGCTTCGCACGCTCAGCAGGACCGGCCAAGCGCATCTCGACCAGAAGCCCTCGAAAAGCTTCGGCTTGGGGCTTGGGGCGTGTGTGAGGTCTCTCCTTGCTCTTGTCTTTAATCGGGGAACAATCACGACGCTATCCAACAAATACTCTGTGTTGTTTTGGTGTGTTCTTCTCCCGTGAGGCACTCAGCAGCTAGTGAAGTTTGCTGCTCGTTGCAACGAAACTGCACGTGTTCGTCATCATCGCCACACCTTTCATAATGGAGAATATGTTGCGAACTCGGTACTGCTGCAATCTCTTCCCGCTGTGTACTGTAAGTTTCCGGGCTCGGAAAAGAAGATGCAACCCTGTCCTACTGCAGCTCATGCCCGCAGAAGGCATCAACGGAGGCACTTCAATACTGTACCAACCCCAAGAGGAGGAGCTTCGAGTTCAACAAAACCTCGATCTTGATGGGAAGCACCGTTTGCCAGGGTTCAGGCAGGGGCAGCGGGTAACAATGCTTAGCCAGCATGGCTTGACTTTCTAAGCTGCCACCAGTTGAGGAAACTGATGAAGCGAGCACTGTTTCACGACTCTCAGGGCTGGCTCAACCCAAAGCAAAGAGAAAGAGCGATCCAAGCAAACTGCAACCGCTGCAGTGCGAAGTTGCAACATGCAATTCTAAGTCTTTCCCGTTGGACGCCCTGAAAGTCCGAAAACCCCCCAACCGGTTACCCCCATACCCGAGATCACAGAACCCTAAACTTGAACCGTGGGTTTGGAATGCTCTCGCTCACCCAGCCCTGAAGCCTCAAGCCCTTCTCAGACCGCCCCGAAGCGACCCCAAAGCCCTAAGCCCAAACACCATAAAACACGACCCCTTAAAACCCGGAGCCCAAAGCCCTGCAGCTGCGAAATCCCCAACCCTTCAGCCCTAAATTCTCCGAAATCCTGATCCAAACCCGTCTTAACCTAGATCTCAAATCTCCTCAAACCCCGTCAAGCCTGAGTCCTCACTCCAAACTCTCGAAACCTCCGTCCCAAACTTGATCATGGGGTTTCCGGGCCTACTGTATTCTACTTATCATGCGGAACCCTAAGGAATAATAACATTAATGATTCCGGCTTCTATGTTGCCCTCTAGCGGCGCTGGTGCTCACACTCCCGCTCCCTCAGCTGCCTCTCCTCCAGACAAAGCAGGGTCAGCAGAGACAGGGGGCCAAACAACCCCAAAATCCTTTGAGGGATTCATATAGAGACCTTAATAATTAGAATAGGGTTTTGGGGCCCATTATACCATGATTCTAACAATAAGGAACCCCAAAATAGTATTGGTAATTATTTAAGCCCCTACATCAGTCCCAACTTGGCTCACTAGCAACAAGCTTGTTCAACAATTCGGCCCGGCGCAATTGTCAACAGATTTGTGCACCCTGGACCCCTTCTGGAGGTCCCTGTCTGCAGTACTACATGTTCTGCAATTACCTCGTCCGGCCACTGCACTGCTATCATGCGCATCGCTTTGGGTAGCTAGCTGCTTCCACCTTCATTCTTAGGGATCGCACCGCTTCACTTCACATCGCTACATTGTTCGCGGCAGTACTAGTCTTAGCCGCTCTAGCCATGAAGCCTGAATTCGACTGGCCTCAGAGTTCTTTTTCCAGTTTCGGTAGTATTATCAGGCTTACAGCAGCAAGTCGCGGCGGATCGAAGCTGCAGGTTCAGGGTTGCACTTCGTGACTTTATGACTGTCCGTAGTAGCTTTGTACAAAAAAAGCACACACACACACACTCTCTCTCTCTCTCTCGAAACACATCCGGAACCTCTAGCACACACACTGCTCAAAATCCCTCCTGTAGCCTGCCGGGCACAGAAATTCACGAAGACGCTCAAGGAGCCTTTACAGATCCCACTAAGGTAGCCTTAAAGGAACCCTTAAAGGAACCCGTATATGGAAATCCTTCGTCTCCGCTAAGAGGGCGTGCTCGTGGTGACTCCTCTCCTGTGCCAGCCTTGCCGAACTCTCTTCGGGAGCTTGGAAGGGATGCAGGGTACAAACCCTGAAGGGTCTATGTGGGGCTGGGCGCTTTTGGGGTGCACTTGGAGGCTGTTTTGACGTCGTAAGTCCACCTAGTGTGCCCACTGACCCCTACAGCCCGTCTAACTAACCGGCGAAAGAGGATCCAAGTATGGTTTGCTGATTCGGGCCTTCTATGCCATAAAACCTGCTTGAGGCTTCTTTTGCTTTTCAAGTTGGGGTGACTCTTTTGCGTCTGCCCGAGATAGGAGGGATCAGGGTCTGCTGCATCACGCTGAGGGTGGGCTTGTTGTGATGCTGGCCCGTTTTGAAGCGACCAGCTCCGTCCCTACATCCAACACCTCCAAAACTTGGCACCTCGAACAAAACCTATTTGGAAGCCGCAGAAACCACTTCAATGCCTTACACAGTTCCTGAACACACAGCCCGTCTTCAAAAGCCTCATAGAATCTCTCAGTGGGGATGTCAGGCAAATCTGCATGAAGAATCCCTCACGTGCCTGAGCTCTTCCACTTGTGCCCGGAGCCTTGTAAAGCGGTCACAGTTCAGGGTTTAGGGCCGTTTAGGGCTTCGAGATTTTTCTACTTTTTGTTCGCCTCTTGGGGGTTGGAGAAGAGTTTCATCAGCTGCTCTGGGCTCCACAAGTTCGTCATGGCTCCCCTCTTTGGGATTACCTTATAGGATTCTAAATATGAACCCCAAAAAAGGAACTACTATGGGGCCTACTTTGAGCCAGGGTCTCCGTTACAAGGGGGCTCTGAAAGCCTTCGAAGAGCTGGTGCTGCCTGGGTGTTCGAGTCACAGGTTGTCAGTTTGTAGAAAACCCAGAAAGGCCTGGAAGGGATTTCGGCGGAGGAGCCGGGAGAGAGAATGCCATGTTGCAGGCTTGAACAGGAACACCTTGGAGGTTGGATCAATGCCTCTACCTTTGGTTGCGACAAGGTTAGACTCCAGAGTCTAGGGCTGGTTGATTTGATTGAGGCCTGTGTGCGAAATCTATCCTGGCGCGGACTGCAAGCAAAACATCCTAGCCACCCAAACACAGACCCCAGACCCGACCCGAAACCAGATATCAAAAGCCGGAACTTACCGGTTGGAGCCCAGGCAAGAGGCTGCGATTTTTCCTCCATCTGCTCGGCAATCTTCGCTTCGAACTCCTCTGGCACAACCGCAACTTGTGGATGCGCAAGAAACATACACATGTACACATAATCACAGTCATGCATAGAATTGCTCGTCTAAGTATGGCCTTACGCATGGCACGGTCATAGGTATTCTTCTTGCTGCTGCTCTTATTCCTGTGATTGCTGGTATCGGGTAGTGGTCGCGGCCGTGGCAATGGCCATCGTGCAGAAAGTAGCATCGGCAGCGGGAGTGTGAACAGTATGGCCCAGTATGGGAGTGGCCGTGGCACATGTAGTAGTCATAGTCATGGCAATGGTGGTAGCGGTGCTTGCTGTTGTTCGTAATTGGTAGTCGTCATCGTCGTCTGCACTGACATCCTCGATTGGGACGGCAAAGCCTTCGAGCCCGGGCAGTTCGACTGAAAGCTCAAGTTTACAGTGCAGTGGGTTGTTGTCCATGCACCCGTTCGATGCCCTGTACAGCTACGAAAATAGACTTGACTCGGCCACCGCTTGAAGCTCTTTCTCAAGCGGCAGGCGCCCAGGAATCCTCGAGCTATGCAGAGGAGTTGAACCACAAATCTTGGAATGCAGGGTTCCTGGCCTACAATAATCCCAAATTCAAGTTCAAGATCGGCCACCGAATCTCCTGTCGCGCTTGAAGCAGCTCGGCCCGGAAGGCATCCTGCTTCTGATCATCTTCTTGTCTCATCATTGCTGAAAAAGACTCAAGGTTCTCGGTTCAGATTTCTCAAATTTGAGGTTAATGGCTGAACCCAAACCGACGACAGAGCTCTCACGTCCTTCGACAAGCCAAGCTTCTCGGAGAACTTCTCGGCCATCAAGCTGGGGTCGGGCGTGGCGTACTTCACTTTCCTCATGATTTTCAGTGATCCTTGCTACCGGAACTCTGAACAAAAACGGAAAACAAGTCATTTCGTGGACTCCGAAAACGAGCCCCTGAATCGCAGCGCCTCACGCCGAGCTGCAAAGACCTCATCCCTCAACCCCAATACAGGGGCATTAACAATCACCTAAACTATATTGGGGGACCCTTATTATAGTTATGGTATAATATAACCCCAAAACCTATTCAAACTATTAAGGCTTCTACATGGACCAAAGCTTCCCTGACCTTGTCAATTTCCGAGGCTCATGTTCGGCAGGGCAGCGATGGCCTGCAGCGGTAGGCTTGACTGGCATCCACGGCAGATTTCCGACCTGAACCTCTCATCTCATTCGAGATACGCCGCTGAGCATTCTGTACAGCACACTTCGAGATGCACGAAGGACAAACCTCGAATGTTAGTGCTTCCTTGTCATGTTTTGGGTCGTGATACGACACAGGCCCGCAGACACCAACGTGCGCTCATGTTAAGCAGTTGGAGACTTCTGCTAAAGACCGTTTGCTCAACCCCAAACCCACAAAGTCAGTCCCTCTGAACATCCCAAAACACTGCCTGGCCTTGCGCAGCTCCCCATAGTTGTCGCGAGATGTCGTCACGAAGGTGCCATGACCGCCTACGGCCGGAAGGTACAGTTGGTTTAGGGTTTAGGGTTTAGGGCTTAGACAGGATTCTGGGTTTAGAACTTTGGTTTAGGGCTTAGGGCCTTTTAGGGTTCATTGCTTGAGCGCTCTGAACTCAACTCTACACGGTTCCAGCCTACAACCGCCACACCCAGATCCTGAACCGTAAACCCCTTGCCGCCCCAAGCCCTACAGCGCTCGAACATCCCAGAAACTCCAACTTATTTCTTCCTACACCCTCAAAACCCAAAACTTGAGCCCTAAACTCTAAGCCCTTGAGCCCAACAAAGCCCAAAACCCGATGACCCTGCTTGGACAAAACCCTGGTGTGCAGGCCTGGAGCAGCATTGAAGAACCTGAAAAGTCACGGTTTAGGGTTCAAGGCTTTTTAGGGACCTTTCTGTTTGCTTGCCGTTCAGGTGAGGGTTTAGGGTTTCGGGTCCGGGCAAGAGATTACGGCTTAAGCTTTTGGGGAGGGTTGAAGCACTAGTAAGAGCTTCTTGCATTGCCTACAGACAGTCCACAAAACTGGTACCATGTTTCGGGAATCTACACCTCCAGTGGCTTCGAGTAAATAACGAATACTCTCTGTAGCGCCGCCAACAGCAGCGATGAGCGACGAGTGCACTTATCTTCGGCTGGGTGGCTGGGCTGCGACTCCCACAACCTGCCCCGCGGCATCACGCCGGTCGGTGCGGAACAGGTCCAGCTCCTGCTTTAGGGCGAGTGGGGGCTCGCTGCTATGGTTAAGTGCTTTGAAAAGTTGAGGCCCTGGGAAGTGGTGAGCTCGAGGTTCAGAGCTGCAGGCACTCAGGCACTGCGGAATCCTGATTCCTAAAATGCTGAGAGCCTACAAAACAGCTTGCCTTGCATCGAAGGAAGTACGCGACATACCATCTAATCCCGAAGACCGCCATCTACGCCGTAAGTAAGGAGTCATTATACAAATCCATAGCTTTATTTGACGCCCGAGCCGGACAAACCCAGATCGTAGCGTCCCCAAGTAGGCCCTAAACTCTACACCCTATAAATCCTAAACTCCAGACACTGAAGCCTACGTGCAAATCCTAAGCCCGAAGCCCGAAATCCTATAAGCTCTCGCCTCCTTTGTAGCACGGTCTGCTTTGGTGCCAACGAGGATGATGTTCCGCCACTTCTCCTCGCAACAGAGGGCGGGCCTCAGGTCTTGCTTAGGATTGAAGCTTTCAGTTGAGTCCTGCGCGGTTTTGACTGTGATCCGAAGTTTACACAGCCTCCTGTGTTGAATAATCAACAGCTATGCAAGAACTCTTCATTCCAAGTTGCCTACTACTGTACAGTATGTGTCTGATGCGCGGCAAATGAGTAGCAACGTCGCGAATGATAATCTGACAGTCTGACTCATTGGAACTACTATCGTTGCTTGGCAAATGCTATGCGATGACCAGGATTCGAAGCGTGTCTCGGTCCACGAACAAGCTCCCACCGAAGCCTCCGCGAAACCCTAAACCCTAAACACCCCGGCCACGTGCCTCGCCAAGAAAGCCATGTTCGACAAGAAGCTGCACAACCTGTGCACCGAGCCTCCGGGGACTGCAGGGGTCTGCGGTTTGAAGAGTCTGATGATGGGTGTTGGGCTTCAAGTCGCAGTTTTTGTTGTAGCCTAAATCCTGCAGGTCATGACGACCCCGGAAGTCATGGGCCTTGGGAACCTGTCGTTGACTGCTGAATTCAAAAAATGGCCGTTCCAGGCTTAGGACTGAATTTCGGGATGGGAGGTATTGATTTGTTCAAAAGAGAGTTGGCCGAATGCATGAAGCGGCACGGACTAGTCACCCTGCCCGGCTTTACGCGTCCATCCGGGATGGGCGTGGTGACGATCACGCCGTCGATGGAGTCGGAGCATCCGAGTTCATCCGTCATAAGCTCCTGGCTGCCGCATGTTACTAGAGAAACGGCACACGAAGCTTAGGCTGGAAATAAAACAAAACGTTGTCGATTGAGAAGACGTGCACGAGCAGGTGCCAAGATCACACAATCTGATCTAAGTGGCGTCAAGAAACCCCGGTACCCACAACCCCCAAAACCCACGCTCCTGTTCGATCATGGTGAGGACCTTCATGGGCGTCACATCGGTATCCCCCACGCCGGGGGTATCTAAGTAGTCGACCGGGATACCACTGATCGGGGTCCCCACATAGGCCGTAATCTCTTTGGTGATGCCTCTTGGAGAAGGAGTATTTAAAGTTTGGGGCCCGGCAGGCTTCCGGGGGTGGTAACGGTCTTTACGGCTTGGGGTTCTCAGGGACATGATGACATGGTTTCCTCTGCTCTTTCGGCCAAAAGACTCCTGCAGGAAAACATGAGGGATTAGATGTCAGCACCACTATGTTGGATGTTCTTTGTGCAACATGACTGATCAGTAGGAAGAAGAGAACTGGTGACCATAGTGAGCTGGGCTTCAACCAGACGCGTCCGAAATGTTGGATCCATGATGCAGTGTTTTGCGCACATTTCCAAGCGAGAGTACAGGAGCCCGCGTCCGACGATAAACACATGCGTGACCCGGGTTGCCTTGCCATTGCAACTTCCGTGTGGAAACTACTGCACGTAACTCAACTAAGAGTAGGCAGATATTATCCCTGAAATCGAAACCATACACCCCAAACCCAGAGCCCCATAAACCATGAATCCTACGCACCCAATCCGCCAAACCTGAAACCCGAAATCATGCCCGAAACCTCCCAAGAACCTTGAGCCTTAAACTCGAAAGACCCGACTCTGAGCCCTAAGCAAAAGCCACCCGAAGCCCTGCTCCTCTACAGCAATTTTCGAGAAACCTTGCAGGATTCCGCTTCAACCCTTTATAGACACGCTTACGGAACCCGTCTAGACCCCTTATAGACCCCTTTTCGACCTCTTGCAGACCCCTTGACGGCACCGGACCTCTCGAGTGCAAACCGGCTTCGGCTCGACCGCTTCGTGTCGGATCTCTCAGCGCATTGATGAGGGTGCTCCTAGGTTGGTCTAGGGTTTTCAGAGTTCAGGGTTTAGAACCGATTTTTCTGGGCTTCGGGGAGAGTTTCGGGTTTCAGCCGGGTTCGGTTTAGTCTTCGGAACATTGGTAATCTGGGCATTCGGTTAATGCGGGGGTTGACCTTCGAAGGGTTTCGGTCGCCCCCTGTGCTCAACGAAGGTCGAATTGATCTCACAGCTTGGGGCTGCGAGGGGAGCTTCGATTCAAGGTTTAGGAGTTTAAGTACCGGGTCGCTTAACAAATAGGATAACAATGCTTTGGGGTATATTGGAGTATGCATTTATTAAGGAAATATAAGGCAGACAAATTGGGGATTCTTTAGGGCTCTAGAGTAGGGTGACTTTGGTTGCTACGACTTGACGTGTCTGTCTGCCCTTCCACGAAGAGGATGATTGGAGACTCTTCTGATGAATAGTGCTACGATCACGTCGATAGCTTCAGTACAGTGACAAGTTGTGTGCCAAAGTGCTTCCCATCTCCGCACTCGCCGACTACAAGCAGCACCTGCAGGATGCGATTTGCATTACAGGAACTGAGAACTCGTGACACGCGTCTCGGAGAACTGGTGTCGTAGGATCACGATGCTCCTGTCATATCCTCTCCTTCACGTTTACCATAGCTCATGGAGCACCTGTAGGCCGGCACCATCCCGATTGAAAGGACCTCCGCCCCAGCCTGTACTCCCAAAGCATCCAGGTCAGATTCACCCAGAAAAGCCTAGCATCAGACCTTTCTGAGTAGCCTCGAACTCCAACCACAAGCCCCGTAGGCTCCGTTTGTCTTCGCGCCTTGTGCTGTGCCTCATTGGCAGGTTCTGGTCTGAACCTTAGGGTTGAGGGTTCAGGGTTTAGTAGTTTAGGGTTAGGGGGTTTAGGGTTTAGGGGTTTAGGCTTAGGGGGTTTAGGGTTTAGGAGTTCAGGGTTTAGGGGTTTAGGGTTAGGGGGTTTAGGGTTTAGGGGTTTAGGGTTTAGGAGTTCAGGCTTTAGGGGTTTAGGGTTTAGGGTTGCAAACGAGGTTGCAAAAGGCAGTCAGAGCACGGGCAGTCAGTGGTAGCTCTAAGCGAAAGCCTGAGGAGACATGTTCGCGAAACTTCACATCGCTACAGCCTGCATCCTCCCCTGAAAGGGCTCCCGACCTCTACACTCAAACTATAAACACTACACACTCAGTCCATAATCGAAACTCCATTAACTCTATTACCTGCTTTTGCCCCGATCGTCCTTGATGCAGGCATATCGCCGGCGCGTCGCGCATCGAATCCACTCGGGTAGCCAGTCTAGGGCTGCGTCCAGGGCCGATCGCTTCGTCCCGGGACCTGTAGTATGGGTATAGGCACGCGATAGTCAAGATGTTCGAGTAAGAAGGATACCAACACCACCGTAGTAGCAGTCGCAGTCGCAGACACAGCGGCAGTGTGTAGTGGAAGTGGCAGTGGGTAGTGGTAGTGGTAGCGGAAGCGGAAGTGGTAGTGGTCATGGTGCTCGTCGTCGTCGTCGTCGTAGCAGTAGCAGTAATAGTAGTGGTAGTAGTAGTCGTCGTGGTGGTGGTGTTAGCACTCGTCAACCAAGAACCCTCCTTGTTTCGAGCATCTTGTTCCCACAATTCTGTTCCATCTAGGTTGGCTTCAGGTTTAATTAATTAGCAGGGTTTGTTCAAATTGAACAATTTTGAGATCAGGGTCTGATAGACACCTGACCACTGTAGCATGGCCCAGCTTGTCTGAGTTAGGTTCGAATCGAATTCTCTGCTCCTCCCCTCGAAGACCCAACCTGAGCAAAGTGAAATTCGCAACCCCCTAGGCTCTTGTGGAGCTTTAGGGTCACTCCGCAGCCCTTGTAAAGATCCTCTCGGTAATTCGTAGACAATTTAGGATTGGCAGAATCCTGGCTGTGAGGCCATGGGCAGGATTGCCCAAGGCTTCTCTGGGATGGAAACCTGAAGGGAGCTCGAAACCGGACATTCCCAAACACGATTACATTACTCTGCAAGCCCTGGGGGCCTTAAACACTTTGGAATCCTTACAACCTGAAGCCTAAGCCAAGTGGTTTCAGCAAGTTCCGCATCATACTGCTGATGGACAAACTCCTGCACTGGGGTCCACCAGACACGCCCCATGTTTTGGTGCCCCATCCCAGTGCAGCGCTCGCGTCGAGCTACCCCGGCACATCCGTGCACAACTGGCTCAGTGGTGCATGGATGTGCCGGGGCCACTGACTGAAAACTGAATACACGCATAATGCAGATGCAAGCGCGGCTGCCTTTTTTTGCGGAGGGGCCGCAGTGCACATGCCCTCATGCCCGCCTCACGCTGAGGCTTCAGCCTTCGTGTCTGAAGACTCCAAACTCATGCGCGCTGCGCATCCAAGGCTCAGGCACAACTTGGAAACGCGACGACCTACGTTGCAGATTCAGGCTCTCGACACTCTCCTTCACTGCCAGCGGCATCCAAACAATATCGGCATCCTTACCAGCACCCCCCAAGACCCTTTAATAGAGCCCTTATGGTCCTTAATAATGGGTATTTAGGGTATAGTAGTGGGTAGTTGGGGGGTGCTGGTAAGCCAACGACCCAGAAGCAAAGCCCTACAGGAGAGCTTCAGCTGTCGGGCCCGGCATCTCCCGGAACTTCGCGTTTTCGGCGGACAGCTCGAACATCATCTGACCGGCGATGTTCTTCAGGCCCGTTCTAGTGCCCCTGTCAAAAAACTCCTAGAAGCACTCCTCATGGCCATGCTGCATGGCGAGCATCCGTGCACTGTGGCCGTCATTGTCTTGACAGTCCTTCGCTGCACTTCTGCCCAGGAGGGAATCCGTCTTGCCCTCTCCCAGGCTGCAATGATGAGCGCGGTGCTTCCATCCGAGCTTCTGGCATCCGTGTCCATGCCGGTGTCGTGCAGCCGCTTGATGAGGTCCGGAATTTGCCCATGCTTCACCGTCAACATCAGCAGCGTCAAGCCTGCATCGTTTCTGTAGTCCTTGAATTGGTCGTGACGAAGTTCGAGCAAGAGGTCGAGAGAACCGGGCTTCTGCGCTGCAACTTCCAGAGCACGTCCAACGACCTCTTGTCGTCCTGCTGCAGCCGAATGTCGGCCTTGTAAACACCGCCGTGGTTAGGCAGCTGCTGACCTAGTCAGCAGCTGCCTGGCCACGGGCCAGTGCGCAGTGGAGCGCATGTTTCCCATCGCTCGTGGCACTGTCGTCGAACTATTGTGCACCTGGGCGAACCCCAACAGCCACTGTTGGGATTCGCCCAGGTGCACAATAGTTCGAC